TCAGTGAGGAAAGGGTTCTGAGAGCCTTGGAAGTGATATTCGTGATCACCGCGAAATTCTCTATCGAATGGTGTATGAAGTGTCGAAAAATAAATTTCACTGCAAGGCTGCCCTGGGTGCATCTTATCTCGATTAGTTTCCTTGAGAGTAAAAAATGATCATACTAGACTATTTCTTCTACACTCTAATCATCTTGAATCTGGCCACCTTTTGGAATAGTATACTCTTCTTTTGTTTCAGATGGTATTTTCGCACTAACACATGAAGAAAAACAACATCAGCATCTAAACATCACGTATGTGAAACCACTCACAGTGATTTATTAGCACTAGTTTTTCAACGATGTTAGTTTATCGTCAATCATTTTGTACTATTTTGAAAATCTTTTACGTCATTTATCAAGTTTTGATCTACTTCAATTATACATTAAATAATTTGGAGTTAAAAATTATTTTATCAATTGTAACAAAAAAAACGAACAGCCTTACGGCCGTTAAAATTTAAAGCTGAGATAAACAAAGATTTTCTTTTCGTTTACTAAATTTTTTTCCTTCGGATAAATATTCGTTCCAGACTTACAACTAGATCGTGTGTTTTCGAGATTTTTAACAATATCTCGCTGATCAAAGTCGTTATTATGTCAGAGCGTATTGCTTTTTCCCTCTTTTCCCTCTTTCTACAAAATATTTTCAATGAGTTTATAGAACTTATTTGTTTTGGATAATTTTTCTTTTTTAGATGATTATGTTTTATTCTTAATATCTTTAAACAAAATGTCAACGTCTGTGATAAATGTTAAATATTCTACGCCGCCTCAGCAACGTTCATCGACGTTGCCATCCATCGCCACTTCCTCTTCCTCACCCAGCAAATTTTTACCCATAATCAAAGGTGTAACGCCAACATTAAAATCTCGAAATCCGTCATCGTTTCCATTATCAAATTTGTATGTTTCATTATCTTCGGGAGCTGATCGTTTATTAAATAAAATTGGAAAAAATTTTTCAATTAAAAAAAATCAAACATCGCCGCCAACATCGATAAATCGACTTATGCCGCCAGCAACGCCAACGCTCGTGCGTCGATCATCAACACGCAGTTTATTCATTAACGAACAAGGTAAATAATAGGTCTAGTTTTATAACTGGTACGGTAAATTTAGCCGATATTTTTCCTTTTTCGAAGTAGTCCTATGAAGCTTGAGTAGACTTACAAGTTATGCAGTTATTATCACTACGCTTACTAAGAACGTGTCGAAATGTAAAGTCGAGGACTAAGTACAGTGCAATCAAGAAGAAAAAGCAAAAGAGACACTTAAAAATGCATCATGAAGGAATATTATTCATGTTTTAAAACATATCAACGATTTTTTGCACGCTTCCTATTGAGTTTTATATTGTTTTCTAAATTTATTTTAAAATATTTTAGATGCCCCCTTCTCATATGCAAAAGGCTCCGTAAAGTCAACAAAAATTACTTCTCCGATGCGTCCATTTTCATACATCGAAACACGCACGATGAAAATAACTCCGCCACAATGTTTATTCTTCACCAAACCTACAACAGCATCAACGTCAAAATCAAATAGTCCGATAATGATGAATCAATCATTTTCACTATCGAAATTTAAAAAAGTTTTGTTAAAACGAAGAAATTCTTCAATTATTGTACATGATCATTCATTCAAAGCATCAATATCTTCACCAAGTGTTAAACATCGTTTGAAATATTTGCTAGTAAAACGACAAGAATTAAAACATTCAATTGACAATTTATGTCAAAAAAGAACAAAGTTAAAACATATTTTAATAAACAAAGGTATGTTTGTCGAAGGAACAGCATGGAGTGGCTTTTCTAAGGTTCAGATGAGTTTCTTCTAAAAACAAGGCTATTAGAGTCTATTTAGTATCCTGAATTCATTCCAAGGTTGCATTTGGGAAAAAGAATTGTAACAACCGTCTTACAGACATAGAATGGCAAGTTCCTATTTCGTGGAAATTCAAAATCAACAAGTATAAAATGGAATTTTTTGGAAATTCACTTTTGGATAGGGTAACGATAAACATGTATATTACGCCTCATCCAACAATCTTAACTTAGGTTAGATGAGGTCAGGAAAGTTCAGATGAATTTCCTAACCCTACTTCATCTTACCTAAATTTAGATGATCTACTATATATATGTGAGAGAGAGCTACTATCAACATAAGGGAGGAGGGAGAAGCGACAGTGTGGGAGTGAACCACCACTATTATAGAGTATAGTGTTTGTATGAAAGATATATCCTCACTACACTTACCTAACCTAACCTAAGAATGTTGAGTAACGTGAGCAAATTCATTTAAATTTCCTAACATTACCTTACCTAATCTAAGATGGTCTGCTATATGACTATACGTTCTTACCGTACTCTGTCATGTCTCTAATATTCTCTTACCTAATCCATGGCTTTTTGGAAAAGTTTTTGGGAAAGAATTTTTAGATTCGCGATGTAATTTTTTGAATTTCCCAGAAATAGGAATATGCCATGAACTTCTCACAAAATTTTCTCATGTGAGTTGCACAATTATTTAATAAATCACTGTTATTTTGACCTTTATCTACAATAGGTGCATTTGGTATCAAAATAAGACAACAACCACCACCATCACCACTACAAAATCAAGCGTCACGAGTAACAATTGTTTGTGATATATCACTGTTTGCTTTTAATTTGGAATTTGAAAAAATTGATATTTTCTATGTCATACATATTTATCCTTCTTATTTGGCATACAAATATTTGTCTTGTGATCATTTGTTATCATTCTCTGACATTCTTTCCACTTCTTCCTCCTCATCAGAGACACCATTGAATGCCATCATGTTTACTACAACACTAGATATTTATTTGTTTCAACCGAAATTATTTTATAAAATTGATGATGACGAAAAAGAAATACTATCACAACATAAATTTACCTATTTATCACTTGCTGATAAATATATGATTTTAACAGCAAAAAATGAGCGAATAAATTTAAACCAGTTTCAAATCGGTTTTTGCTCTCAAACACATACTACAATACAAATACAACCAAAACTGATTCATTATTTTATTTCGTATACCAACATAATGAAAAATATTAAAAATCCAAAAGTATGTAAAGATCTTTTGTCTTGAATTCATTTTCAAATATTTGTTTAAACTCTTATATTTTGTTCAAGAGGCATTCTAATTGATACCCTTTGAACTACTAGCATATATTTATCTGATTTAAAAGAGCAAAGGATATCTAATTTTCTTTCTCTCATTTAGTATTGAGCTGGTTTTAACCTGCTCCAAAATCAGAACTTTTTCTCATATAAAATCTTTTTTTACTTTCATGCGGTTCATGTTTACAGGAATTTGTTGTTATATGGTGATTTCAAGTAATTCCATCGGAATAAGTGTAAATGTATGTTAAATAAAGTGCTTAATTTCTTTCGTTATGCACGCATATATCTTACAGTTTCTTATACGCTATTCATGTTTGCCCTTTCGAATTAATAAATTAGCTTGTAATTATGTATGTTAAGGTGAAATCGATTTAACAAATCTCAGTTTGTGCACTAAAAATTTCTTTTATGTCTTTTGCTGTATGTATTTGATTATTCACTCTTTGTTATTATGTATTTATTTATGCTTAAAATCATCACGCTTTATCTGTACTGTTTTTCCGTAATGTTGCTAGTGTCATTGAGTGATACGTTCTTATTTCTGCTTTTTTTTCTAGTTTATTCCACGTGATCACGATGATTTATCATTGATTACTCAAAGCACAAGCAAATCTTCTAGTGAAAGTGCATTCGTATTAAGTAAGTAATTTTGTTAAATTCTGTCGATCAAGCTGTTTGTGTAATCGTATAATAATCTTTCTTTGTAATTTATATACTGCATTGATAACTCTAACCTCATATTTTAGGAACATATACTAGCATGACATTTGATCAATGCATTTGATTCGTGCTTTTGTTTCTCTTTTCTTATAAATTTCGAAAATTTCGAAAATCGAATGTATAGTTTACCGAGATTATAGCTAATCATCTCGTTTTCTATTAAAAGCTTCTCTCTCCAAAATACGGCTTTTTCAGAAAAGCTCATGATTCGATAGCTCAAACTGTCCTCTTTTAAAAACATCAAAGATCATGTCTTTAGAGTTTGCATGGCTTTTTTTAGGAAATTTTCTAAAATTATTATAAGGAAAAATAGACTAAACACTGGTTTTTTAAGCAAAAACAACATGTTTGTTTATGCGAACACATATGCGGCACATGCGTCTGCAAGTATTTCCTGAATTCAGCATGATTAAAGATCTGTAGAAGTATATATACAAGTTATCTTCCGATCAAACTTCTTAAGAAATATAGATTTTTTAACAAAAGTATTTTGCGTTTTTCTCGAAATAATTTTTTCACATAGTGAAGTCAATATCGTTGAGCAGATTTTTCCTTCGATATTAAATGATGGAGAGGTGAGACTGACTCTAAATTGAAGCTAAGGTATAGACAACGGCGTAAATAGAGTCTAATTTTTAATTTAAGCTTTTATTTTTCCGATATTCGTTTTTTTATGGAAAATATTTCGAGAGATTTTAAGTTTTTGCTTACTACTGTATCAAAAAACTCTTTACAGAAAAATATCAAAAATCCAACTCTATCACGCCATTATCGTCCCTTTTGTCTGGAATTTATAAGGGCCAACTCGAACGCTGCATCATTTATTTTTGACGAAAAACTCTTTTTAACATTAAACGCTCCATTTTATTTCATAAATGTGAGATGTCTCGCGAACACTAATAGGTTGAATCTAGAAATTTTTAGCGTTAGTCTACTTTGGTACGTTCAACATCTCTTGAAAGTTGATTCTGATTTTGTAAACTTGATTCAAGTCAAAGATTCATGACTGAAACGAGATGTTTTGTTCGATTGGATGAACACGTGTATTAGTATCTGAGACTGACTTCTATTGATTAGAAGAACGTCCCATAACATGTTTCCGGCTGTATTACTTCTCATTCAGAGGCCATATAAATCCAACAGTTCCCAACGGACGTCATATAAATTACTGTTTAGTGGAGCAATTCGAATTAGGCTACATGAAAGTATCATAGATCTTCGATAAAGCTATCATGAATCTCATGAATGATAGACGAGTGCATCGTTTTCTATTTGCTATACGAAATATATTTTCTCTCATAAAATAGAATAACACAAATCTAATATCATTGCATACTTGATTACTAAATCTTGGCTTCTCTATCCACGCTACATGCGTTTCAGCTCATGCAGATCTTATTCAGTGCATTTATTTTCCTTCTCATGTATAATTAACTGTTTAACGAGCTGTAATATATGTAGAATATTTTATAAAATTCAAATCTAGAAATAGGGTTCAATTTGGATACATAAGCCAGCTTTACGTTCCATTATTTATAGTCTACATCTTTTAATGTTAATTGAGCTGCTTCAACTCTGTTCCCTGTGTATCTTGTATGTGTGTATAATGTATTAAGATGTTGATTGGTATTATTGTTGATTTTTCTTCTTTGCGTAAAAGCAAATTTGATGTCATTTCGTCTTTTCTTAAGAGATGGAATCATTTTAGTTCACTCATTTGGAAACTCATCATTATCACTACCATGTTGTACGTAACCTCTCTCTCTCTCTCTCGTTCTCTTTCGCTCTTGATGATTGGTTCAATTTTTTTTGTTCATCATCGAAATATAAGAAAAGAAAAGTAAAGAAGAGAAAAAATACAAACGACATACATCCATTTATTCAATCGATCGTTCTATCCGATAACGTTTTGATATCTGATTTTTTATTTAAAAAAAAAAAGAAAAAATCTCTGATCGTGTCATATAAACAAAAGAGTATTGTATGTTTTCTGATGATGATGGTGGAATAGTCGTAAATAAATACAATACACTCATAAAAATATCAGAATTATGCATGGTTATAAAAAAGTTCGATTTCGGTATATAAAAGATAATGGAAAAACTACGTCAGTTACTGTTCGATGTAGTCTTAAACGTAAGTATTATAACTTCTTTTCTTTTTTTGTTTTTTTGGTCTGATCAATTAAAACTATAGAGGTGAAAAGAAAATTGATGCTAATTAAAATCATGCACAGAAAAAAAAAATTAAATACGCACGCTTTCTTGATTATTCAATAGAATGTGTATAGATATCATCCGTAGGTGTTCAAGTGGTTTAGAGTTGAATAAAATGAAACTAATTGTCAATGAATTGTACAAGTGTTCGGCATAGTTTAAGTTTCAGATTTTTCAAATAATAGAAAAAAGTGATATTCTCAATTTTCTTTTTAAACGTATGCAGACCTAGTGTTACGTAGTGTCAAAGGCAATATTGAATTATGCATTGTGATTTAAAAATCTCTTCACTACTTTCTTCAACAATATCTAGTCGATTTTTCACTGCTAGTTAGTTAGTCTGTTAACATTTTAAAAAGAGTATCCAATGAAGAAAAATGTTAACAATTTTTTTGTCCGTATTATAAACTATGATATACATATGTGTGTACATCGATGTTTGAAGTACAGTTTTTAAAATGAAGTCTGTTATTAGCATATCTCTCACTCTTTGTCATTTTAATAATTAGTATTTTAAGCGATAGAACAGTCAGTAAGATTAAACATTTGAAAGCAACAGATGTTTTTTAAATCACTCAATCATTAACTGATTAGTTTAACAGACAAAGTGTTGAAGCTTGAAATAAAATTTTTTAGTGCAAATAACTTAATTGTGTTAGAATAATGTATTTATCGTAACTATACTGTGAATCTGTATAAATAAGACAGCTTTTTATATACAGAATACTTGCTGAGAGAACGTTTTTTAGATGCTGATATAGTATGTCATTTTTTAAAAATCATAATTCACAAATGTGTATGTATCTACGTAGCATCAGTTAATTTTTTCTGCATGAAGTCTTCCCCCCCGATTATCTAATCGATTGCATAATTTTTGTTTGTAATGCATTAGAAAGGAGAGCGAAACCGCACTTCATTTTAGACTATTTTTTATTATTTTTATTGTTCACACTTGAATAAAAAGTTGCTTTTTCAATGTTGTCGGATGTTTTTTTATCAATCATAAAAATCATGTTTTGTTGGTTCGACCAAAGTGCCTACAGCCATTTGATTGATCATTTGACATTGATGTGACGACACGAGACAAACATATAGAGAAAAAATTGAACGGAAACATTAGAGATCTTTATCGCGAACGTTTTTTGTTTTTTTTTGACTAATTGACGTTGATTATTAGTTTTTCTCTTTTTCAACGGTTAAATTTGTATTTTTTCTTCAATCTGAAGTAAAAAAAAATCTTAATTAGAAAAGTGATTAAAACTAGAGTAGAGAATATTCAATAATATATTTTTTCAAACCAGTGATACTGCGAGAAAACTCTAAAATTAATATAACTTATCAGTTTTAGTCAAAATGGGTCAGTCAGTCATCTATTAGAATAGTTAGTTATTTTATTATTTTTTAATTTATTATCCAAAAAGCGTTTTTTTAGTATTTCTCGTCTATATAATATAGTGCACCAATTGCCTGCTCACCAATCTAATTTTCTTTTGCTTGTTCTTGAGTTCATTATTAAATATCTTAAGAAAATTATCGGCATTTTATCTTTCTTCTATGCCACTTACTCTTTATATACATTGATTGATTTTGATCAAACGATTAATATGTGACATTTTGACTTTTCAGGTGATGTTGAAATTTGAAGAGTAAACCACTTGTCTCAGTCAAAAATACTTTTTTCATATTTTGTTGTCGGTCAAACTTTTTTCTTGTTTATAATAATAATTATTTTCATCTGTGTCACGGTCAGTGGTCTATCTAACAAAAAAATAAAAAAATAGTTTGTTTATATGTTTATGTTATGTTAGCATGATGAGTGTGTTATACTGGACCGTTATTACTAGTATTTATTATTATTGATCAGGATATGTTCTCTTCATCTTCTCATCTTTTCCACTTGTATTTACTATCTTTAATTTCATATTTTGCTCATCTGATATTCTACAACTGTCCTATTTTAGAATTAAAATAACAGAAAATTTTTTTTTCTATTCTTTATTTTCACACTTAGACATGAAAACTAACTATCAAAAGATAAAAATTATTGCCTTACACGTGAGATCATCATCACAATCCGGATTGTTATTTACAAATTTTGATTAGCGATTTCTGTTAATCAAAGGGAAAGAAAAGATGTCGAAGAGAAAAAATCGCTTTTTCATGATTTCGATTGTGAAAAAAATCACAAGGTTGAAAAAATCACGGATGGGGATGGACGGGCAATCGTTCTCTTCGATGGGAATGGTTTTTTTGAAAACTTTTTGTATAACATATATGAATTGTTTGGGAATGAAGCCTAAGTAGTAAAAGACATGACACTGGACGAACATGAGATACGGATGAGAGAATTTTCGTTGAGATATGCAAGAGAATTAATTTTTTTCATAGAAAAGAAGAAAATATCTGTAGTTAAAACATGATTTTTTGTCATACTACAGATTTTTTATCTACAGGCGTGAACAGCCGTAAAAATTCACGAACGGGCTCGAACAAACATCTAAGGATTCCAGATCTTTTAATTTTAGCAGAAAAATGCTGATTTTTGGAACTTTTTCTGCCTCGTTTCTGCTCTTTTTTGTTCTAAGGTCTGGTGATTTTCTGATTTTCTACTTCTTTTTCTCAGGTTTTTCTGATTTTGACTTTTATTGTCTGATTTTCGTCTTTTGGATCTGGGTTCCCTGCAAACATCCCCGAAAAGGAATCTCTACATCCTACTTATCTATTTAATAGAAAAAGAAACTGACAGTATTTAAAACGAAAATTTTCTCTAGACACTATGTGGTGTCGATTGCGGCTAACATTTTGATTAATCGTTTGAATATTTCTCGTTTTTTTGTTTTATTGCGTTGTTTTTTCGTATTGTACATGTGGCGAATCCATTAACAAAGAATATGTATTGTGTTGCATAGTTCATTAATTATTATATTTAGAGAAATAATAATCTCTGATCACTATTTCATATAATGCGGCAGGGTTTGTAGGCCTAACACAGATCGTAAATAAATTATCATTCGATGACATAATTATAAAAGGATGATATATACTACATTTGGGAGAGAGAGGGGAAAGATGATATAAACTTTTTTC